ATGTCTCCATGGGTACCACCTCCATCCCTATGTCTCCATGGTTACCACCTGCATCCCCATCCCAGCATCCCTATGTCTCCATGGGTACCACCTGCATCCCTATCCCAGCATCCCTATGTCTCCATGGGTACCACTTCCATCCCTATGTCTCCATGGTTACCACCTGCATCCCCATCCCAGCATCCCTATGTCTCCATGGGTACCACTTCCATCCCTATGTCTCCATGGTTACCACCTGCATCCCCATCCCAGCATCCCTATGTCTCCATGGGTACCACCTCCATCCCTATGTCTCCATGGGTACCACTTCCATCCCTATGTCTCCATGGGTACCACCTGCATCCCCATCCCAGCATCCCTATGTCTCCATGGTTACCACCTGCATCCCCATCCCAGCATCCCTATGTCTCCATGGGTACCACTTCCATCCCTATGTCTCCATGGTTACCACTTCCATCCCCATCCCAACATCCCTATGTCTCCATGGGTACCACCTGCATCCCCATCCCAGCATCCCTATGTCTCCATGGGTACCACCTGCATCCCCATCCCAGCATCCCTATGTCTCCATGGGTACCACCTGCATCCCCATCCCAGCATCCCTATATCTCCATGGGTACCACCTGCATCCCCATCCCAGCATCCCTATGTCTCCATGGGTACCACCTGCATCCCCATCCCATCATCCCTATGTCTCCATGGGTACCACCTCCATCCCCATAGCCCCATGGGTACCACCTGCATCCCTATCCCAGCATCCCTATGTCTCCATGGGTACCACCTGCATCCCCATCCCAGCATCCCTATGTTTCCATGGTTACCACCTCCATCCCTATGTCTCCATGGGTACCACCTCCATCCCCATCCCAACATCCCTATGTCTCCATGGTTACCACCTGCATCCCCATCCCAGCATCCCTATGTCTCCATGGGTACCACCTCCATCCCTATCCCAGCATCCCTCTGTCTCCATGGGTACCACCTGCATCCCCATCCCAACATCCCTATGTCTCCATGGGTACCACCTGCATCCCCATCCCAGCATCCCTATGTCTCCATGGGTACCACCTGCATCCCCATCCCAACATCCCTATGTCTCCATGGGTACCACCTGCATCCCCATCCCAGCATCCCTATGTCTCCATGGGTACCACCTGCATCCCCATCCCAGCATCCCTATGTCTCCATGGGTACCACCTCCATCCCCATCCCAGCATCCCTATGTCTCCATGGGTACCACTTCCATCCCCATCCCAGCATCCCTATGTCTCCATGGGTACCACCTGCATCCCCATCCCAGCATCCCTATGTCTCCATGGGTACCACCTGCATCCCCATCCCAACATCCCTATGTCTCCATGGGTACCACCTCCATCCCTATCCCAGCATCCCTATGTCTCCATGGGTACCACCTCCATCCCCATCCCAGCATCCCTATGTCTCCATGGGTACCACCTGCATCCCCATCCCAGCATCCCTATGTCTCCATGGGTACCACCTGCATCCCCATCCCAACATCCCTATGTCTCCATGGGTACCACCTCCATCCCCATCCCAGCATCCCTATGTCTCCATGGGTACCACCTGCATCCCCATCCCAGCATCCCTATGTCTCCATGGGTACCACCTCCATCCCCATCCCAGCATCCCTATGTCTCCATGGGTACCACCTCCATCCCCATCCCAGCATCCCTATGTCTCCATGGGTACCACCTCCATCCCCATCCCAGCATCCCTATGTCTCCATGGTTACCACTTCCATCCCTATGTCTCCATGGGTACCACCTCCATCCCCATCCCGGCATCCCTATGTCTCCATGGTTACCACCTCCATCCCTATGTCTCCATGGGTACCACCTGCATCCCCATCCCAGCCTCCCTATGTCTCCATGGGTACCACCTCCATCCCTATCCCAGCATCCCTATGTCTCCATGGGTACCACCTGCATCCCCATCCCAGCATCCCTATGTCTCCATGGGTACCACCTCCATCCCCATCCCAACATCCCTATGTCTCCATGGGTACCACCTGCATCCCTATGTCTCCATGGTTACCACCTCCATCCCCATAGGTCCATGGGTACCACTTCCATCCCCATCCCAGCATCCCTATATCTCCATGGGTACCACCTGCATCCCCATCCCAGCATCCCTATGTCTCCATGGTTACCACCTGCATCCCCATCCCAGCATCCCTATGTCTCCATGGGTACCACCTGCATCCCCATCCCAGCATCCCTATGTCTCCATGGGTACCACCTGCATCCCCATCCCAGCATCCCTATGTCTCCATGGGTACCACCTGCATCCCCATCCCAGCATCCCTATGTCTCCATGGGTACCACCTGCATCCCTATCCCAGCATCCCTATGTCTCCATGGGTACCACCTGCATCCCCATCCCAGCATCCCTATGTCTCCATGGGTACCACCTCCATCCCTATGTCTCCATGGTTACCACCTGCATCCCCATCCCAGCATCCCTATGTCTCCATGGGTACCACTTCCATCCCCATCCCAACATCCCTATGTCTCCATGGGTACCACCTGCATCCCCATCCCAGCATCCCTATGTCTCCATGGGTACCACCTCCATCCCTATGTCTCCATGGGTACCACCTGCATCCCCATCCCAGCATCCCTATGTCTCCATGGGTACCACCTGCATCCCCATCCCAGCATCCCTATGTCTCCATGGGTACCACCTCCATCCCTATGTCTCCATGGTTACCACCTGCATCCCCATCCCAGCATCCCTATGTCTCCATGGGTACCACCTGCATCCCTATCCCAGCATCCCTATGTCTCCATGGGTACCACTTCCATCCCTATGTCTCCATGGTTACCACCTGCATCCCCATCCCAGCATCCCTATGTCTCCATGGGTACCACTTCCATCCCTATGTCTCCATGGTTACCACCTGCATCCCCATCCCAGCATCCCTGTCTCCATGGGTACCACCTCCATCCCTATGTCTCCATGGGTACCACTTCCATCCCTATGTCTCCATGGGTACCACCTGCATCCCCATCCCAGCATCCCTATGTCTCCATGGTTACCACCTGCATCCCCATCCCAGCATCCCTATGTCTCCATGGGTACCACTTCCATCCCTATGTCTCCATGGTTACCACTTCCATCCCCATCCCAACATCCCTATGTCTCCATGGGTACCACCTGCATCCCCATCCCAGCATCCCTATGTCTCCATGGGTACCACCTGCATCCCCATCCCAGCATCCCTATGTCTCCATGGGTACCACCTGCATCCCCATCCCAGCATCCCTATATCTCCATGGGTACCACCTGCATCCCCATCCCAGCATCCCTATGTCTCCATGGGTACCACCTGCATCCCCATCCCATCATCCCTATGTCTCCATGGGTACCACCTCCATCCCCATAGCCCCATGGGTACCACCTGCATCCCTATCCCAGCATCCCTATGTCTCCATGGGTACCACCTGCATCCCCATCCCAGCATCCCTATGTTTCCATGGTTACCACCTCCATCCCTATGTCTCCATGGGTACCACCTCCATCCCCATCCCAACATCCCTATGTCTCCATGGTTACCACCTGCATCCCCATCCCAGCATCCCTATGTCTCCATGGGTACCACCTCCATCCCTATCCCAGCATCCCTATGTCTCCATGGGTACCACCTGCATCCCCATCCCAACATCCCTATGTCTCCATGGGTACCACCTCCATCCCCATCCCAGCATCCCTATGTCTCCATGGGTACCACCTGCATCCCCATCCCAGCATCCCTATGTCTCCATGGGTACCACCTGCATCCCCATCCCAACATCCCTATGTCTCCATGGGTACCACCTGCATCCCTATCCCAGCATCCCTATGGCTCCATGGGTACCACCTGCATCCCCATCCCAGCATCCCTATGTCTCCATGGGTACCACCTGCATCCCTATCCCAGCATCCCTATGTCTCCATGGGTACCACCTGCATCCCTATCCCAGCATCCCTATATCTCCATGGGTACCACTTCCATCCCCATCCCAGCATCCCTATGTCTCCATGGGTACCACCTGCATCCCCATCCCAGCATCCCTATGTCTCCATGGGTACCACCTGCATCCCCATCCCAACATCCCTTGGTCTCCATGGTTACCACCTCCATCCCCATAGCTCCATGGGTACCACCTGCATCCCCATCCCAGCATCCCTATGTCTCCATGGGTACCACCTGCATCCCCATCCCAGCATCCCTATGTCTCCATGGGTACCACCTCCATCCCCATAGCCCCATGGGTACCACCTCCATCCCCATCCCAACATCCCTATGTCTCCATGGGTACCACCTGCATCCCCATCCCAACATCCCTATGTCTCCATGGTTACCACTTCCATCCCTATGTCTCCATGGGTACCACCTGCATCCCTATCCCAGCATCCCTATGTCTCCATGGGTACCACCTCCATCCCCATCCCAGCATCCCTATGTCTCCATGGGTACCACCTGCATCCCCATCCCAGCATCCCTATGTCTCCATGGGTACCACCTCCATCCCTATGTCTCCATGGTTACCACCTGCATCCCCATCCCAGCATCCCTATGTCTCCATGGGTACCACCTGCATCCCCATCCCAGCATCCCTATGTCTCCATGGGTACCACCTCCATCCCTATGTCTCCATGGTTACCACCTGCATCCCCATCCCAGCATCCCTGTGTCTCCATGGGTACCACCTGCATCCCCATCCCAGCATCCCTAGGTCTCCATGGGTACCACCTGCATCCCCATCCCAGCATCCCTATGTCTCCATGGTTACCACCTCCATCCCTATGTCTCCATGGGTACCACCTCCATCCCCATCCCAGCATCCCTATGTCTCCATGGGTACCACTTCCATCCCTATGTCTCCATGGGTACCACCTGCATCCCTATCCCAGCATCCCTAGGTCTCCATGGGTACCACTTCCATCCCTCTGTCTCCATGGTTACCACCTCCACCCCCCTTAACCCCTTTCCCCCCTTCCCATTGGCCCCCTTTATCCCCGCCCCCTTCCTTACCATCAACGCGTGCCTATTGGCCGCCAGAAGCCCCGCCCCGTAACCCGCAGCCAATCCGGGCAGGGCTCCGTTCCCGAGCAACGCGTGTACGTCTCCGGATGCCGCTTGGGATGGATGCGGATGCGGATGCGGATGCGGATGATGTGGGGCGGGGGGCACTTGTGGGGCGGACAGCGATGGGGCCTGCCCCACGGCGTGATTCCGGAGCACGTGGATGGCGTCGTCCAAGCGTTCCAAGCGGTCTTCCAGGCGGCTTTGCTGCTTGGGAAGAGCATCGTTGCTATGGAAGCGGGATGGGATGGGATGGGATTGGGGGGGGGGGACCGGGATGTGGTACCCAAGGAGGTGGGGATGGGGGGGGGGGGTGTTGTTGCTATGGCGACCCCCCTTTTGTTGGCCCTGCTCTTGGAATTCCATTGGGAAAGGGATGGATGTTGCTTTTGGAATGGGGGGGGAGAGAATGCCATTGGAATTCCATTGGGAAAGGGGAGCTCCATCCCCTTCCCTTCCCAATAATGGGGTTGGGAGACAAAATCCCATTGGAATTCCATAGGGAAAGGGGAGCCCCATCCCTTTTCAATGCCAATAATGGAGATGGGAGAGAGAATTCCATTGGAATTCCATAGGGAAAGGGATGTTGCCTTTGGAATGGGGTGGGAGAGAAAATCCCATTGGAATTCCATTGGGAAAGGGATGGATGTTGCCTTTGGAATGGGGTGGGAGAGAAAATCCCATTGGAATCCCATTGGGAAAGGGATGCCCCATCTCTTTTCCCTGCCAATAATGGGGATGGGAGAGAGAATTCCATTGGAATTCTATAGGGAAAGGGATGCCCCATCCCTTTTCAATGCCAATAATGGGGATGGGAGAGAAAATCCCATTGGGATTCTATAGGGAAAGGGATGCTGCCTTTGGAATGGGGTGGGAGAGAAAATGCCATTGGAATCCCATTGGGAAAGGGATGCCCCATCCCTTTTCCCTGTCAATAATGGGGATGGGAGATAAAATCCCATTGGAATTCCATTGGGAAAGGGATGTTGCCTTTGGAATGGGGTGGGAGAGAAAATCCCATTGGAATCCCATTGGGAAAGGGATGCCCCGTCTCTTTTCCCTGTCAATAATGGGGATGGGAGAGAGAATCCCATTGGAATTCCATTGGGAAAGGGATGCCCCATCCCTTTTCAATGAAAATAATGGGGATGGGAGAGAAAATCCCATTGGAATTCCATTGGGAAAGGGATGTTGCTTTTGGAATGGGGGGGGAGAGAAAATCCCATTGGAATTCCATTGGGAAAGGGATGTTGCTTTTGGAATGGGGGGGGAGAGAAAATCCCATTGGAATTCCATAGGGAAAAGGATGCCCCATCCCTTTTCCCTGTCAATAATGGGGATGGGAGAGAGAATTCCATTGGAATTCTATAGGGAAAGGGATGCCCCATCCCTTTTCAATGCCAATAATGGGGATGGGAGAGAAAATCCCATTGGGATTCTATAGGGAAAGGGATGCTGCCTTTGGAATGGGGTGGGAGAGAAAATCCCATTGGAATCCCATTGGGAAAGGGATGCCCCATCCCTTTTCCCTGTCAATAATGGGGATGGGAGATAAAATCCCATTGGAATTCTATAGGGAAAGGGATGTTGCCTTTGGAATGGGGGGGGGAGAAAATCCCATGGGAATTCTATAGGGAATGGGATGCCCCATCTCTTTTCCCTGGCAATAATGGGGATGGGAGAGAGAATTCCATTGGAATTCTATAGGGAAAGGGATGCCCCATCCCTTTTCAATGCCAATAATGGGGATGGGAGAGAAAATCCCATTGGGATTCTATAGGGAAAGGGATGCTGCCTTTGGAATGGGGTGGGAGAGAAAATCCCATTGGAATCCCATTGGGAAAGGGATGCCCCATCCCTTTTCCCTGTCAATAATGGGGATGGGAGATAAAATCCCATTGGAATTCTATAGGGAAAGGGATGCCCCATCCCTTTTCAATGCCAATAATGGGGATGGGAGAGATAATCCCATTGGAATTCTATAGAGAAAGGGATGCTGCCTTTGGAATGGGGTGGGAGAGAAAATGCCATTGGAATTCTATAGGGAAAGGGATGCCCCATCCCTTTTCCCTGGCAATAATGGGGATGGGAGAGAGAATTCCATTGGAATTCTATAGGGAAAGGGATGCCCCATCCCTTTTCCCTGTCAATAATGGGGATGGGAGATAAAATCCCATTGGAATTCCATAGGGAAAGGGATTCCCAAGGGGATGGGAGAGGGGAAGGATGAAGGCCATCATTCCATAAGGGAAGGGGGAAGAATGAGGCGGGTCAAGGGAAGCTCCAGGACTTCCCAGGAATCCTATGGGATCATCAGCATCTGCATCCAATGGGATCATCAGCATCTGCATCCAATGGGATCACGGCCATCTCCATCCTATAGGGGCCACCATCATCTCTATCCTATGGGATCACCATCTCCATCCCATGGGATCACCATCATCTCCATCCTATGGGATCACCACCCCTATCCCATGGGATCACCACCATCCCCATCCTATGGGATCACCATCCCCATCCCATGGGATCACCACCATCTCCATCCTATGGGATCACCATCATCTCCATCCTATGGGATCACCATCTCCATCCTATGGGATCACCACCATCTCCATCCTATGGGATCACCATCTCCATCCTATGGGATCACCATCATCTCCATCCTATGGGATCACCATCTCCATCCTATGGGATCACCATCATCTCCATCCTATAGGGGCCACCATCATCCCCATCCCATGGGATCACCACCCCCATCCCATGGGATCACCATCCCCATCCTATGGGATCACCATCTCCATCCTATGGGATCACCATCTCCATCCTATGGGTACCACCATCTCCATCCTATGGGACCACCACCATCCCCATCCTATGGGATCACCATCTCCATCCTATGGGATCACCACCATCCCCATCCTATGGGATCATCATCTCCATCCTATGGGATCACCATCTCCATCCTATGGGATCACCCCCATCCCCATCCTATGGGATCACCATCATCTCCATCCTATAGGGGCCACCATCATCTCCATCCCATGGGATCACCCCCACCATCCCCATCCCATGGGATCACCATCTCCATCCTATGGGATCACCATCTCCATCCTATAGGGGCCACCATCATCTCCATCCTATGGGATCACCACCATCTCCATCCTATGGGACCACCATCATCTCCATCCTATGGGATCACCACCATCTCCATCCTATGGGATCACCACCATCTCCATCCCATGGGATCACCACCATCTCCATCCTATGGGATCACCACCATCCCCATCCTATGGGATCACCATCTCCATCCTATGGGATCACCACCATCCCCATCCTATGGGATCACCATCTCCATCCTATGGGATCACCATCATCTCCATCCAATGGGATCACGGCCATCTCCATCCTATAGGGGCCACCATCATCTCCATCCCATGGGATCACCACCATCTCCATCCTATGGGACCACCATCATCTCCATCCTATAGGGGCCACCATCATCTCCATCCCATGGGATCACCCCCACCATCCCCATCCCATGGGATCACCACCCCCATCCCATGGGATCACCATCTCCATCCTATGGGATCACCATCTCCATCCAATGGGATCACCACCATCCCCATCCTATGGGATCATCATCTCCATCCTATGGGACCACCATCTCCATCCTATAGGGGCCACCATCATCTCCATCCTATGGGATCACCACCATCTCCATCCTATGGGGGCCACCATCCCCATCCCATGGGATCACCACCATCTCCATCCTATAGGGGCCACCATCATCTCCATCCTATGGGATCACCATCTCCATCCTATGGGGACCACCATCCCCATCCCATGGGACCACCATCATCTCCATCCTATAGGGACCACCACCATCTCCATCCTATAGGGGCCACCATCATCCCCATCCCATGGGATCACCACCCCCATCCCATGGGATCACCACCCCCATCCCATGGGATCACCATCCCCATCCCATGGGTACCACCACCATCTCCTCCATCCTTTGACCACCACCACCACCTCCTCCTCCTCCTCCTTCGCTCTCTTATCCTATAGGATCCAAACTCCATCTCCTGGGAAAAAGGGGGGGGGTTGGGAAGAGGGACGGAAGCAGGGATGAGACATGGAAAAGGTCGGGAATATGGGATGTTCCCCATGGATCACCTACCAAGGAATGTAAGGGCCCGTCATAAGTGGGAGATGCTGCCGCTTGGCCTCCATTCCTAGACCATACAGCTGGGCCTGCTGGTAGCAAAAGGGGAAGCACCATTAGAAACCCCGGCATTCCCAAGGGATTTGGGAGTGGGAAGTTGGGGAAGGAAAAGTTGGGAATGGCTGGGAAAGATGGATCGAGGAAGGAAGGAGAAAAACAGGGGGGTTTTCCTTCCTCTTCCATTGGCTTCTAAGGGAGAAGGGAGGCATTGGAAAGGGGGGGATCCCGTTTTCCAGGGGTTTTCCAAAGGCAATTCCCATTGAATGGAAGAGAATGGGAATTGGGAATGCTAAATCCTTGGAAGTGCATTGGGATTGGGAATGCCGCATCTATGGATGCGCTCAACATGGAGCAACGTGGTCCTTACCTAGACCTAGTTCTTAGGGTCTTTTCCATCCCAATCCCATCCTAAAGGATCCTTGGAAGTGCATTGGGATTGGGAATGCCGCATCCTTGGATGCGCTCAACATGGAGCAACGTGGTCCTTACCTATACCTAGTTCTTAGGGTCTTTTCCATCCCAATCCCATCTTAAGGATCCTTGGAAGTGCATTGGGATTGGGAATGCTCCATCCTTGGAAGTGAATGGGATTGGGAATGCTCCATCCTTGGAAGTGCATTGGGATTGGGAATGCCGCATCCTTGGATGCGCTCAACATGGAGCAACGTGGTCCTTACCTAGACCTAGTTCTTAAGGTCTTTTCCATCCCAATCCCATCCTAAAGGATCTTTGGAAGTGAATGGGATTGGGAATGCTCCATCCTTGGAAGTGAATGGGATTGGGAATGCCACATCCTTGGAATTGCATTGGGATTGGGAATGCCGCATCCTTGGATGCGCTCAACATCCCGATGGATGGAGAACGTGGTCCTCACCTAGACCTAGTTCTTAAGGTCTTTTCCATCCCAATCCCATCCTAAAGGATCCTTGGAAGTGCATTGGGATTGGGAATGCTCCATCCTTGGAAGTGCATTGGGATTGGGAATGCTCCATCCTTGGAATTGCATTGGGATTGGGAATGCCGCATCCTTGGATGCGCTCAACATGGAACAACGTGGTCCTTACCTAGACCTAGTTCTTAGGGTCTTTTCCATCCCAATCCCATCCTAAAGGATGCTTGGAAGTGCATTGGGATTGGGAATGCTCCATCCTTGGAAGTGAATGGGATTGGGAATGCCTCATCCTTGGAATTGCATTGGGATTGGGAATGCCGCATCCTTGGATGCGCTCAACATCCCGATGGATGGAGAACGTGGTCCTTACCTAGACCTAGTTCTTAGGGTCTTTTCTATCCCAATCCCACCTTAAGGATCCTTGGAAGTGAATGGGATTGGGAATGCTCCATCCTTGGAATTGCATTGGGATTGGGAATGCTCCATCCTTGGAATTGCATTGGGATTGGGAATGCCGCATCCTTGGATGCTCTCAACATGGAGCAACGTGGTCCTTACCTAGACCTAGTTCTTAAGGTCTTTTCCATCCCAATCCCATCCTAAAGGATCCTTGGAAGTGAATGGGATTGGGAATGCTCCATCCTTGGAATTGCATTGGGATTGGGAATGCTCCATCCTTGGAATTGCATTGGGATTGGGAATGCCGCATCCTTGGATGCTCTCAACATGGAGCAACGTGGTCCTTACCTAGACCTAGTTCTTAGGGTCTTTTCCATCCCAATCCCATCCTAAAGGATCCTTGGAAGTGAATTGGGATTGGGAATGCTCCATCCTTGGAAGTGAATGGGATTGGGAATGCTCCATCCTTGGAATTGCATTGGGATTGGGAATGCCTCATCCTTGGATGCGCTCAACATCCCGATGGATGGAGAACGTGGTCCTTACCTAGACCTAGTTCTTAGGGTCTTTTCCATCCCAATCCCATCCTAAAGGATCTTTGGAAGTGAATGGGATTGGGAATGCTCCATCCTTGGAAGTGAATGGGATTGGGAATGCCACATCCTTGGAAGTGCATTGGGATTGGGAATGCCGCATCCTTGGATGCGCTCAACATGGAGCAACGTGGTCCTTACCTAGACCTAGTTCTTAGGGTCTTTTCCATCCCAATCCCATCCTAAAGGATCCTTGGAAGTGAATGGGATTGGGAATGCTCCATCCTTGGAAGTGAATGGGATTGGGAATGCCACATCCTTGGAATTGCATTGGGATTGGGAATGCCGCATCCTTGGATGCGCTCAACATGGAGCAACGTGGTCCTCACCTAGACCTAGTTCTTAGGGTCTTTTCCATCCCAATCCCATCCTAAAGGATCCTTGGAAGTGCTTTGGGATTGGGAATGCTCCATCCTTGGAAGTGAATGGGATTGGGAATGCTCCATCCTTGGAATTGCATTGGGATTGGGAATGCCGCATCCTTGGATGCGCTCAACATCCCGATGGATGGAGAACGTGGTCCTTACCTAGACCTAGTTCTTAAGGTCTTTTCCATCCCAATCCCATCCTAAAGGATCCTTGGAAGTGAATGGGATTGGGAATGCTCCATCCTTGGAAGTGCATTGGGATTGGGAATGCTCCATCCTTGGAATTGCATTGGGATTGGGAATGCCGCATCCTTGGATGCGCTCAACATGGAGCAACGTGGTCCTTACCTAGACCTAGTTCTTAAGGTCTTTTCCATCCCAATCCCATCCTAAAGGATCCTTGGAAGTGAATGGGATTGGGAATGCTCCATCCTTGGAAGTGCATTGGGATTGGGAATGCCACATCCTTGGACTTGCATTGGGATTGGGAATGCCGCATCCTTGGATGCGCTCAACATGGAGCAACGTGGTCCTTACCTAGACCTAGTTCTTAAGGTCTTTTCCATCCCAATCCCATCCTAAAGGATCCTTGGAAGTGCATTGGGATTGGGAATGCTCCATCCTTGGAAGTGAATGGGATTGGGAATGCTCCATCCTTGGAATTGCATTGGGATTGGGAATGCCGCATCCTTGGATGCGCTCAACATGGAGCAACGTGGTCCTTACCTAGACCTAGTTCTTAAGGTCTTTTCCATCCCAATCCCATCCTAAAGGATCCTTGGAAGTGAATGGGATTGGGAATGCTCCATCCTTGGAAGTGCATTGGGATTGGGAATGCCACATCCTTGGACTTGCATTGGGATTGGGAATGCCGCATCCTTGGATGCGCTCAACATGGAGCAACGTGGTCCTTACCTAGACCTAGTTCTTAAGGTCTTTTCCATCCCAATCCCATCCTAAAGGATCCTTGGAAGTGCATTGGGATTGGGAATGCTCCATCCTTGGAAGTGAATGGGATTGGGAATGCTCCATCCTTGGAATTGCATTGGGATTGGGAATGCCGCATCCTTGGATGCGCTCAACATGGAGCAACGTGGTCCTTACCTAGACCTAGTTCTTAAGGTCTTTTCCATCCCAATCCCATCCTAAAGGATCCTTGGAAGTGAATGGGATTGGGAATGCTCCATCCTTGGAATTGCATTGGGATTGGGAATGCTCCATCCTTGGAATTGCATTGGGATTGGGAATGCCGCATCCTTGGATGCGCTCAACATCCCGATGGATGGAGAACGTGGTCCTTACCTAGACCTAGTTCTTAAGGTCTTTTCCATCCGAATACCATCCTAAAGGATCCTTGGAAGTGCATTGGGATTGGGAATGCTCCATCCTTGGAATTGCATTGGGATTGGGAATGCCGCATCCTTGGATGCGCTCAACATGGAGCAACGTGGTCCTTACCTAGACCTAGTTCTTAAGGTCTTTTCCATCCCAATCCCATCCTAAAGGATCCTTGGAAGTGAATGGGATTGGGAATGCTCCATCCTTGGAAGTGCATCGGGATTGGGAATGTTCCATCCTTGGAATTGCATTGGGATTGGGAATGCCGCATCCTTGGATGCGCTCAACATGGAGCAACGTGGTCCTTACCTAGACCTAGTTCTTAAGGTCTTTTCCATCCCAATCCCATCCTAAAGGATCCTTGGAAGTGCACTGGGATTGGGAATGCTCCATCCTTGGAAGTGAATGGGATTGGGAATGCCACATCCTTGGAATTGCATTGGGATTGGGAATGCCGCATCCTTGGATGCGCTCAACATGGAGCAACGTGGTCCTTACCTAGACCTAGTTCTTAGGGTCTTTTCCATCCCAATCACATCCTAAAGGATCCTTGGAAGTGCTTTGGGATTGGGAATGCTGCATCCTTGGAAGTGAATGGGATTGGGAATGCTCCATCCTTGGAATTGCATTGGGATTGGGAATGCTGCATCCTTGGATGCGCTCAACATCCCGATGGATGGAGAACGTGGTCCTCACCTAGACCTAGTTCTTAGGGTCTTTTCCATCCCAATCCCATCCTAAAGGATCCTTGGAAGTGAATGGGATTGGGAATGTTCCATCCTTGGAATTGCATTGGGATTGGGAATGCTCCATCCTTGGAATTGCATTGGGATTGGGAATGCCGCATCCTTGGATGCGCTCAACATCCCGATGGATGGAGAACGTGGTCCTTACCTAGACCTAGTTCTTAAGGTCTTTTCCATCCCAATCCCATCTTAAGGATCCTTGGAAGTGCATTGGGATTGGGAATGCTCCATCCTTGGAAGTGAATGGGATTGGGAATGCTCCATCCTTGGAATTGCATTGGGATTGGGAATGCCGCATCCTTGGATGCGCTCAACATCCCAATGGATGGAGAACGTGGTCCTTACCTAGACCTAGTTCTTAAGGTCTTTTCCATCCCAATCCCACTTTAAGGATCCTTGGAAGTGCATTGGGATTGGGAATGCTCCATCCTTGGAAGTGAATGGGATTGGGAATGTTCCATCCTTGGAATTGCATTGGGATTGGGAATGCCGCATCCTTGGATGCGCTCAACATGGAGCAACGTGGTCCTTACCTAGACCTAGTTCTTAAGGTCTTTTCCATCCCAATCCCATCTTAAGGATCCTTGGAAGTGCATTGGGATTGGGAATGCTCCATCCTTGGAAGTGAATGGGATTGGGAATGCTCCATCCTTGGAATTGCATTGGGATTGGGAATGCCCCCTTCCAACCTCCCCAACTCCTCCCGTTGCCCTAAAGGGGAAACCTTGCGATGAAACCCATTGAGCTGTAGGGGAACATTCCCAAGCTTTTCCCAGTCTTTTTTCCATCCCCATTCCAAACCCCCCCCTCTTTTCTTGGGATACAGGGAAAAAGGAAGGGGGGGAGGACACAAAAGAAGGAGGCAACTGTTACCTGCCAGAGAAGGGGGAGAGCCAACAGGAGTTGAAGGAGTGGATGGGAAGCTGGTGGTGGTGGGCTCTGGAGAGTAGATCTTTAAGAGACGATAGAGGGTTAATCCCTAAGGAATGATGGCCCCAAAGGGCTCTACAGCCATAGAAAGGCCCAAATCCCATTGGATCCCTAAGGAATGATGGCCCCAAAGGGCTCTACAAGCATAGAAAGGTCCAAATCCCATTGGATCCCTAAGGAATGATGGCCCCAAAGGGCTCTATCACCATAGAAAGGCCCAAATCCCATTGGATCCCTAAGGAATGATGGCCCCAAAGGGCTCTACAAGCATAGAAAGGCCCAAATCCCATTGGATCCCTAAGGAATGATGGCCCCAAAGGGCTCCATCACCATAGAAAGGCCCAAATCCCATTGGATCCCTAAGGAATGATGGCCCCAAAGGGCTCTACAACCATAGAAAGGCCCAAATCCCATTGGATCCCTAAGGAATGATGGCCCCAAAGGGCTCTACAACCATAGAAAGGCCCAAATCCCATTGGATCCCTAAGGAATGATGGCCCCAAAGGGCTCTACAAGCATAGAAAGGCCCAAATCCCATTGGATCCCTAAGGAATGATGGCCCCAAAGGGCTCTGCAACCATAGAAAGGCCCAAATCCCATTGGATCCCTAAGGAATGATGGCCCCAAAGGGCTCTACAACCATAGAAAGGCCCAAATCCCATTGGATCCCTAAGGAATGATGGCCCCAAAGGGCTCTACAACCATAGAAAGGCCCAAATCCCATTGGATCCCTAAGGAATGATGGCCCCAAACTGCTCCATCACCATAGAAAGGCCCAAATCCCATTGGATCCCTAAGGAATGATGGCCCCAAAGGGCTCCATCAACATAGAAAGGCCCAAATCCCATTGGATCCCTAAGGAATGATGGCCCCAAAGGGCTCTACAGCCATAGAAAGGCCCAAATCCCATTGGATCCCTAAGGAATGATGGCCCCAAAGGGCTCTAGCACCATAGAAAGGCCCAAATCCCATTGGATCCCTAAGGAATGATGGCCCCAAAGCTGCTCCATCACCATAGAAAGGCCCAAATCCCATTGGATCCCTAAGGAATGATGGCCCCAAAGGGCTCCATCACCATAGAAAGGCCCAAATCCCATTGGATCCCTAAGGAATGATGGCCCCAAAGGGCTCTACAAGCATAGAAAGGCCCAAATCCCATTGGATCCCTAAGGAATGATGGCCCCAAAGGGCTCTACAACCATAGAAAGGCCCAAATCCCATTGGATCCCTAAGGAATGATGGCCCCAAACTGCTCCATCACCATAGAAAGGCCCAAATCCCATGGGATCCCTAAGGAATGATGGCCCCAAAGGGCTCTACAGCCATAGAAAGGCCCAAATCCCATTGGATCCCTAAGGAATGATGGCCCCAAAGCTGCTCCATCACCATAGAAAGGCCCAAATCCCATTGGATCCCTAAGGAATGATGGCCCCAAAGCTGCTCCATCACCATAGAAAGGCCCAAATCCCATTGGATCCCTAAGGAATGATGGCCCCAAAGGGCTCCATCACCATAGAAAGGCCCAAATCCCATTGGATCCCTAAGGAATGATGGCCCCAAAGGGCTCTACAACCATAGAAAGGCCCAAATCCCATTGGATCCCTAAGGAATGATGGCCCCAAAGGGCTCCATCACCATAGAAAGGCCCAAATCCCATTGGATCCCTAAGGAATGATGGCCCCAAAGGGCTCTACAACCATAGAAAGGCCCAAATCCCATTGGATCCCTAAGGAATGATGACCCCAAACTGCTCCATCACTATAGAAAGGCCCAAATCCCATTGGATCCCTAAGGAATGATGGCCCCAAAGCTGCTCCATCACCATAGAAAGGCCCAAATCCCATTGGATCCCTAAGGAATGATGGCCCCAAAGGGCTCTACAGCCATAGAAAGGCCCAAATCCCATTGGATCCCTAAGGAATGATGGCCCCAAAGGGCTCTACAACCAGAGAAAGGCCCAAATCCCATTGGATCCCTAAGGAATGATGGCCCCAAAGGGCTCTGCAACCATAGAAAGGCCCAAATCCCATTGGATCCCTAAGGAATGATGGCCCCAAAGGGCTCCATCCCCATAGAAAGGCCCAAATCCCATTGGATCCCTAAGGAATGATGGCCCCAAAGCTGCTCCATCGCCATAGAAAGGCCCAAATCCCATTGGATCCCTAAGGAATGATGGCCCCAAAGGGCTCTACAACCATAGAAAGGCCCAAATCCCATTGGATCCCTAAGGAATGATGGCCCCAAAGGGCTCTACAACCATAGAAAGGCCCAAATCCCATTGGATCCCTAAGGAATGATGGCCCCAAAGCTGCTCCATCACCATAGAAAGGCCCAAATCCCATTGGATCCCTAAGGAATGATGGCCCCAAAGGGCGCTACAGCCATAGAAAAGCCCAAATCCCATTGGATCCCTAAGGAATGATGGCCCCAAGGCTGCTCCATCACCATAGAAAGGCCCAAATCCCATTGGATCCCTAAGGAATGATGGCCCCAAAGGGCTCTACAGCCATAGAAAGGCCCAAATCCCATTGGATCCCTAAGGAATGATGACCCCAAAGGGCTCCATCACCATAGAAAGGCCCAAATCCCATTGGATCCCTAAGGAATGATGGCCCCAAAGCTGCTCCATCACCATAGAAAGGCCCAAATCCCATTGGATCCCTAAGGAATGATGGCCCCAAAGCTGCTCCATCACCAAAGAAAGGTCCAAATCCCAATTTATCCCTAAGGAATGATGGCCCCAAAGGGCTCTACAGCCATAGAAAGGCCCAAATCCCATTGGATCCCTAAGGAATGGTGGCCCCAAAGGGCTCTACAACCATAGAAAGGCCCAAATCCCATTGGATCCCTAAGGAATGATGGCCCCAAAGGGCTCTACAACCATAGAAAAGCCCAAATCCCATTGGATCCCTAAGGAATGATGGCCCCAAAGGGCTCTACAACCATAGAAAGGTCCAAATCCCATTGGATCCCTAAGGAATGATGGCCCCAAAGCTGCTCCATCACCATAGAAAGGCCCAAATCCCATTGGATCCCTAAGGAATGATGGCCCCAAAGGGCTCTACAAGCATAGAAAGGCCCAAATCCCACTGGATCCCTAAGGAATGATGGCCCCAAAGGGCTCTACAGCCATAGAAAGGCCCAAATCCCATTGGATCCCTAAGGAATGATGGCCCCAAAGGGCTCCATCACCATAGAAAGGCCCAAATCCCATTGGATCCCTAAGGAATGATGGCCCCAAAGGGCTCCATCACCATAGAAAGGCCCAAATCCCATTGGATCCCTAAGGAATGATGGCCCCAAAGGGCTCTACAGCCATAGAAAGGCCCAAATCCCATTGGATCCCTAAGGAATGATGGCTCCAAAGGGCTCCACAACCATAGAAAGGCCCAAATCCCATTGGATCCCTAAGGAATGATGGCCCCAAAGCTGCTCCATCACCATAGAAAGGCCCAAATCCCATTGGATCCCTAAGGAATGATGGCCCCAAACTGCTCCATCACCATAGAAAGGCCCAAATCCCATTGGATCCCTAAGGAATGATGGCCCCAAAGGGCTCTACAGCCATAGAAAGGCCCAAATCCCATTGGATCCCTAAGGAATGATGGCCCCAAAGGGCTCCATCACCATAGAAAGGCCCAAATCCCATTGGATCCCTAAGGAATGATGGCCCCAAAGCTGCTCCATCACCATAGAAAGGCCCAAATCCCATTGGATCCCTAAGGAATGATGGCCCCAAAGGGCTCTACAACCATAGAAAGGCCCAAATCCCATTGGATCCCTAAGGAATGATGGCCCCAAAGGGCTCCATCCCCATAGAAAGACCCAAATCCCATTGGATCCCTAAGGAATGATGGCCCCAAAGCTGCTCCATCACCATAGAAAGGCCCAAATCCCATTGGATCCCTAAGGAATGATGGCCCCAAAGGGCTCCATCACCATAGAAAGGCCCAAATCCCATTGGATCCCTAAGGAATGATGGCCCCAAAGCTGCTCCATCACCATAGAAAGGTCCAAATCCCATTGGATACCTAAGGAATGATGACCCCAAACTGCTCCATCACCATAGAAAGGCCCAAATCCCATTGGATCCCTAAGGAATGATGGCCCCAAAGGGCTCTACAACCATAGAAAGGTCCAAATCCCATTGGATCCCTAAGGAATGATGGCCCCAAAGCTGCTCCATCACCATAGAAAGGCCCAAATCCCATTGGATCCCTAAGGAATGATGGCCCCAAAGCTGCTCCATCACCATAGAAAGGCCCAAATCCCATTGGATCCCTAAGGAATGATGGCCCCAAAGGGCTCTACAAGCATAGAAAGACCCAAATCCCATTGGAACCCTAAGGAATGATGGCCCCAAAGCTGCTCCATCACCATAGAAAGGCTCAAATCCCATGGGATCCCTAAGGAATGATGGCCCCAAAGCTGCTCCATCACCATAGAAAGGTCCAAATCCCATTGGATCCCTAAGGAATGATGGCCCCAAAGGGCTCTACAGCCATAGAAAGGCCCAAATCCCATTGGATCCCTAAGGAATGATGGCCCCAAAGGGCTCCATCACCATAGAAAAGCCCAAATCCCATTGGATCCCATTGGTGGCCCGCATCCCACCCCGCTGGGCACACGGCATTCCAAAGGTTGGGAATGGGGTCCTTACGGAAGCGAGGGCTTTGCCCAGGGCATCGCCGGTCTGGGAGCTTCCTCCTGCCCCACTTCCTCTGTTGCCTGGAAAAAGGAAAGGATGGGGGTCAGAAAAGTAGGGAAAAGCAGGAAAAATCCCACAGGGAATTCCCAATCCCATTGTTCCCCCTCCCAAATCCAAGTTTCCAATGGGAATTCCCGTTGCTCCCCATCCCGCTGGCCCCATTCTGCCTTCATCCCTTGGGTACCAGCATCCGTAGGGACCCACATTCCCAATGGATCCATCCCACTCTGCCTTCATCCCTTGGGTACCACCATCCATAGGGCCCCACATTCCCAATGGATCCATCCCATTCTGCCTTCATCCATTGGGTACCAGCATCCATAGGGACCCACATTCCCAATGGATCCATTCCATTCTGCCTTCATCCTTGGGTACCAGCATCCATAGGGACCCACATTCCCAATGGATCCATCCCATTCTGCCTTCATCCCTTGGGTACCACCACCCATAGGGCCCCACATTCCCAATGGATCCATCCCATTCTGCCTTCATCCTTGGGTACCAGCATCCATAGGGACCCACATTCCCAATGGATCCATCCCATTCTGCCTTCATCCCTTGGGTACCACCACCCATAGGGCCCCACATTCAAAATGGATCCATCCCATTCTGCCTTCATCCCTATGGAAGCAGCATCCATAGGGCCCCACATTCCCAATGGATCCATCCCATTCTGCCTTCATCCTTGGGTACCAGCATCCATAGGGACCCACGATCCCAATGGATCCATCCCATTCTGCCTTCATCCCTTGGGTACCACCACCCATAGGGCTCCACGATCCCAATGGATCCATCCCATTCTGCCTTCATCCTTGGGTACCAGCATCCATAGGGCCCCACATTCCCAATGGATCCATCCCATTCTGCCTTCATCCCTTGGGTACCACCACCCATAGGGCCCCACGATCCCAATGGATCCATCCCATTCTGCCTTCATCCCTTGGGTACCACCACCTATAGGGCCCCACGATCCCAATGGATCCATCCCTATGGATGGATGCTTCCCATCACCTCCTGCCCCACAGTGCCTTCATCCGTTGGGTACCACCACCCATAGGGACCCATAATCCCAATGGATTCATCCCTATGGATGGATGCTTCCCATCCCCTCCTGCCCCACAATGCCTTCATCCCTATGGAACCAGCATCCATAGGGCCCCACGATCCCAATGGATCCATCCCTATGGATGGATGCTTCCCATCACCTCCAGCCCCACATTGCCTTCATCCCTTGGGTACCACCACCCATAGGGCCCCATGATCCCAATGGATCCATCCCATTCTGCCTTCATCCCTTGGGTAACAGCATCCATAGGGCCCCACATTCCCAATGGATCCATCCCATTCTGCCTTCATCCTTGGGTACCAGCACCCATAGGGCCCCATGATCCCAATGGATCCATCCCACTCTGCCTTCATCCCTTGGGTACCAGCATCCATAGGGACCCACATTCCCAATGGATCCATCCCATTCTGCCTTCATCCCTATGGAACCAGCATCCATAGGGCCCCACGATCCCAATGGATCCATCCCTATGGATGGATGCTTCCCATCACCTCCAGCCCCACATTGCCCCCATCCCAACCCCCTTCCGCCCCATAGCGCCCGCCCCCCAAAGAACTCACCCATGATTGGCTCAGAGCCGTTGGCCGGGGGGGTGCAGGATGTGGGGCCGTAGTGGGCGCTGGGACCGCGGTGGAAGGTGGACATGGGGGGCAGGCTGGAGTTGAGCTCCCCCGAGGGATGGGATGGAAAGCTCTGGAAGGGGAGAAGAGGATGGAGGTCCATCAGGATGATGGAGCATCATGGAGGTCCATGGCTTCATCATGGTCCATCATGGAGGTCCATCAGGATGATGGAGCATCACTTTGGGCCATGGCTCCATCATGGTCCATCATGGAGGTCCATCAGGATGATGGAGCATCACTTTGGTCCATGGCTCCATGATGGTCCATCATGGAGGTCCTTAAGGATGATGGAGCATCACTTTGGGCCATGGCTCCATCATGGAGGTCCATCAGGATGATGGAGCATCACTTTGGGCCATGGCTCCATCATGGTCCATCATGGAGGTCCATCAGGATGATGGAGCATCATGGAGGTCCATAGCTCCATCATGGTCCATCATGGAGGTCCATCAGGATGATGGAGCATCACTTTGGTCCATGGATCCATCATGGAGGTCCATCAGGATGATGGAGCATCATGGAGGTCCATAAGGATGATGGAGCATCACTTTGGTCCATAGCTCCATCATGGTCCATCATGGAGGTCCATCAGGATGATGGAGCATCATGGAGGTCCATCAGGATGATGGAGCATCACTTTGGTCCATGGCTCCATGATGGTCCATCATGGAGGTCCTTAAGGATGATGGAGCTTCACTTTGGTCCATGGCTCCATCATGGAGGTCCATAAGGATGATGGAGCATCACTTTGGGCCATGGCTCCATGATGGTCCATCATGGAGGTCCATCAGGATGATGGAGCATCACTTTGGGCCATGGCTTCATGATGGTCCATCATGGAGGTCCATAAGGATGATGGAGCATCACTTTGGGCCATGGCTCCATCATGGAGGTCCATCAGGATGATGGAGCATCACTTTGGGCCATGGCTTCATGATGGTCCATGATGGAGGTCCATAAGGATGATGGAGCATCACTTTGGGCCATGGCTCCATCATGGAGGTCCATCAGGATGATGGAGCATGACTTTGGTCCATGGCTTCATGATGGTCCATCATGGAGGTCCATAAGGATGATGGAGCATCACTTTGGTCCATGGCTTCATGATGGTCCATCATGGAGGTCCATAAGGATGATGGAGCATCACTTTGGGCCATGGCTTCATGATGGAGCATCATGGAGGTCCATCAGGATGATGGAGCATCACTTTGGCCCATGGCTTCATGATGGTCCATCATGGAGGTCCACCAGGATGATGGAGCATCACTTTGGTCCATGGCTTCATGATGGTCCATCATGGAGGTCCATAAGGACGATGGAGCATCATGGAGGTCCATAGCTTCATGATGGTCCATCATGGAGGTCCATAAGGATGATGGAGCATCACTTTGGGCCATGGCTCCATGATGGTCCAGCATGGAGGTCCATCAGGATGATGGAGCATCACTTTGGTCCATGGCTCCATCATGGAGGTCCATAAGGATGATGGAGCATCATGGAGGTCCCCAATGATGCTGGACCACCATAGAGGTCCCCAATGATGCTGGACCACCATAGAGGTCCATAAGGATGCTGGACCACCATAGAGGTCCCCAATGATGCTGGTCCATCATAGAGGTCCCCAATGATGCTGGACCATCATAGAGGTCCATAAGGATGCTGGACCATCATAGAGGTCCCCAATGATGCTGGACCACCATAGAGGTCCCCAATGATGCTGGACCACCATAGAGGTCCCCAATGATGCTGGACCATCATAGAGGTCCATAAGGATGCTGGACCACCATAGAGGTCCCCAATGATGCTGGACCACCATAGAGGTCCATAAGGATGCTGGACCATCATAGAGGTCCCCAATGATGCTGGACCACCATAGAGGTCCCCAATGATGCTGGACCACCATAGAGGTCCCCAATGATGCTGGACCACCATAGAGGTCCCCAATGATGCTGGACCACCATAGAGGTCCATAAGGATGGTGGTCCACCATAGAGGTCCCCAATGATGCTGGACCATCATAGAGGTCCCCAATGATGCTGGACCACCATAGAGGTCCATAAGGATGGTGGTCCACCATAGAGGTCCCCAATGATGCTGGTCCACCATAGAGGTCCCCAATGATGCTGGACCACCATAGAGGTCCATGATGATGGTGGTCCACCATAGAGGTCCCCAATGATGCTGGACCACCATAGAGGTCCCCAATGATGCTGGACCACCATAGAGGTCCCCAATGATGCTGGACCACCATAGAGGTCCCCAATGATGCTGGACCATCATAGAGGTCCCCAATGATGCTGGTCCATCATAGAGGTCCCCAATGATGCTGGACCACCATAGAGGTCCCCAGTGATGCTGGACCACCATAGAGGTCCCCAATGATGCTGGACCACCATAGAGGTCCATGATGATGCTGGACCACCATAGAGGTCCCCGATGATGCTGGACCACCATAGAGGTCCATGATGATGCTGGACCACCATAGAGGTCCCCAATGATGCTGGACCACCATAGAGGTCCCCAATGATGCTGGACCATCATAGAGGTCCCCAATGATGCTGGACCACCACAGAGGTCCCCAATGATGCTGGACCACCATAGAGGTCCATGATGATGCTGGACCACCATAGAGGTCCCCAATGATGCTGGACCACCATAGAGGTCCCCAATGATGCTGGACCACCATAGAGGTCCCCAATGATGCTGGACCACCATAGAGGTCCCCAATGATGCTGGACCACCATAGAGGTCCCCAATGATGCTGGACCACCATAGAGGTCCCCAATGATGCTGGACCATCATAGAGGTCCCCAATGATGCTGGACCACCATAGAGGTCCATAAGGATGGTGGTCCACCATAGAGGTCCCCAATGATGCTGGACCACCATAGAGGTCCCCAATGATGCTGGACCACCATAGAGGTCCCCAATGATGCTGGACCATCATAGAGGTCCCCAATGATGCTGGACCACCATAGAGGTCCCCAATGATGCTGGACCACCATAGAGGTCCATGATGATGGTGGTCCACCATGGAGGTCCATGATGATGCTGGTCCACCATAGAGGTCCCCAATGATGCTGGACCATCATAGAGGTCCCCAATGATGCTGGTCCACCATAGAGGTCCCCAATGATGCTGGTCCATCATAGAGGTCCCCAATGATGCTGGTCCACCATAGAGGTCCCCAATGATGCTGGACCACCATAGAGGTCCATAAGGATGCTGGACCATCATAGAGGTCCCCAATGATGCTGGTCCATCATAGAGGTCCCCAATGATGCTGGACCACCATAGAGGTCCCCAATGATGCTGGACCACCATAGAGGTCCATGATGATGCTGGACCATCATAGAGGTCCCCAATGATGCTGGACCATCATAGAGGTCCATAAGGATGCTGGACCACCATAGAGGTCCCCAATGATGCTGGACCATCATAGAGGTCCCCAATGATGCTGGACCACCATAGAGGACCCCAATGATGCTGGACCACCATAGAGGTCCCCAATGATGCTGGACCATCATAGAGGTCCCCAATGATGCTGGACCACCATAGAGGACCCCAATGATGCTGGACCACCATAGAGGTCCCCAATGATGCTGGACCATCATAGAGGTCCCCAATGATGGTGGTCCACCATAGAGGTCCATGATGATGCTGGACCACCATAGAGGTCCCCAATGATGCTGGACCACCATAGAGGTCCATGATGATGCTGGACCACCATAGAGGTCCATGATGATGGTGGTCCACCATAGAGGTCCATGATGATGGTGGTCCTTACCAAGCGCTCGTGCGGATGCAGGCTGCAGTAGCTGCTGGCCTGGGGGAGATGGGCTGAGTTTCCCAGCATCCCTCCGTAGCCGGGTTGGTTCATCCCACTGGAAGAGCTCCAGGGATCGCTGCCGTGGTGTCCATCTGGGAAGGAAGAGCAGGGAATGAATCCCGATGGGAATTCCATGGGAAAACAAGGAGCTCAATATGTGTGTGTGTTGGGGGGGTTCCATAGGGATGCTCCTCCATTCATCCATCCCATGGTGCCCATCCCACCTCCTCGTGGTCCTTCCCTCATTCCCAAAGTGGGAATTCCCATCGGGAATGCTATGGAAAAGATGGTGGGGGGGTGGAATTCCCATTGGATCCAATGTTCCCAAAGGATCCGGATTAAGGGGGGGGATAAAGGAAGCATCTCCCTAGGGAACAGAGGGATTCCCTATGGAAGCGATGCTCCTGCAGGTGGATCCCAAAGGGAATTCCGGAGGTGGGGAATGGGGGTGAAGAGAGGGATTCCCTATGGAAGCCATGCTCCTGCAGGTGGATCCCAAAGGGAATTCCGGAGGTGGGGAATGGGGGTGAACAGAGGGATTCCCTATGGAAGCCATGCTCCTGCAGGTGGATCCCAAAGGGAATTCCGGAGGTGGGGAATGGGGGTGAACAGAGGGATTCCCTATGGAAGCGATGCTCCTGCAGGTGGATCCCAAAGGGAATTCCGGAGGTGGGGAATGGGGGTGAACAGAGGGATTCCCTATGGAAGCGATGCTCCTGCAGGTGGATCCCAAAGGGAATTCCGGAGGTGGGGAATGGGGGTGAACAGAGGGATTCCCTATGGAAGCCATGCTCCTGCAGGTGGATCCCAAAGGGAATTCCGGAGGTGGGGAATGGGGATGAACAGAGGGATTCCCTATGGAAGCGATGCTCCTGCAGGTGGATCCCAAAGGGAATTCCGGAGGTGGGGAATGGGGGTGAACAGAGGGATTCCCTATGGAAGCCATGCTCCTGCAGGTGGATCCCAAAGGGAATTCCGGAGGTGGGGAATGGGGGTGAACAGAGGGATTCCCTATGGAAGCCATGCTCCTGCAGGTGGATCCCAAAGGGAATTCCGGAGGTGGGGAATGGGGGTGAAGAGAGGGATTCCCTATGGAAGCGATGCTCCTGCAGGTGGATCCCAAAGGGAATTCCGGAGGTGGGGAATGGGGGTGAAGAGAGGGATTCCCTATGGAAGCCATGCTCCTGCAGGTGGATCCCAAAGGGAATTCCGGAGGTGGGGAATGGGGGTGAAGAGAGGGATTCCCTATGGAAGCCATGCTCCTGCAGGTGGATCCCAAAGGGAATTCCGGAGGTGGGGAATGGGGGTGAAGAGAGGGATTCCCTATGGAAGCCATGCTCCTGCAGGTGGATCCCAAAGGGAATTCCGGAGGTGGGGAATGGGGGTGAAGAGAGGGATTCCCTATGGAAGCGATGCTCCTGCAGGTGGATCCCAAAGGGAATTCCGGAGGTGGGGAATGGGGGTGAACAGAGGGATTCCCTATGGAAGCCATGCTCCTGCAGGTGGATCCCAAAGGGAATTCCGGAGGTGGGGAATGGGGGTGAACAGAGGGATTCCCTATGGAAGCGATGCTCCTGCAGGTGGATCCCAAAGGGAATTCCGGAGGTGGGGAATGGGGGTTTCGGTTTTCCCACAATCCATTGGGATTTTGGGGGGGGAAGGGAATCCCTCTTTTTACCTTGCATGAAGAAAGAGCTCGGGAAGGAGCCGGCGCCCGGCTTGGATGATGGAAAACCGGGAGAATCCCGGTTGTAATCGGCGGTGCTGGCTGATGGGGCATAAACCTAGGGAAAAAAAGAGGGATTAAGCTTGGAATTCCCAAAAAATAGGGAAAAATCCCAACCCCCCCCCCTTTGTTTGCTTGGAATTCCCTTCCCAAATCCCATAGGAATCCTGCGCGGGAAGGGAAAGAAGCTTCCCAAAGGTCCCAAGAGTCCAAGAGGGTGAATTGGGCATTCCCAAGGCATGGAATTCCCAAAGATGGGAATAAGCATGGATTATTCCCTGAAATAAGTGGGAAAATCCCTGTTTTCCTTAGGATTGGAGGCGATTCCCTGCTCCCTACACCCCACGGCATTCCAGGCCCAGGATGCATCCATGTTTTCCTATAGTGCATGGAAATCCCTAAGGAATTCCATAGAATTCCCATGGAAAGAAGGTGGGGAAGTGGACTCGGCGCCAGCATTCCCAAATCATGGATAACGGGATGGGAAACCCAGCAATGATGCAGGGATAATGGGAGAGCATCCTCCAGTTGGGATACAGGGAGAAGGCAGCTCCATTCCCAAGGCATGGAATTCCCAAAGATGGGAAAACCCATGGATTATTCCCTAAAATAAGTGGGAAAATCCCTGTTTTCCTTAGGATTGGAGGCGATTCCCTGCTCCCTACACCCCACGGCATTCCAGGCCCAGGTATCCTTGGGATGCATCCATGTTTTCCTATAGTGCATTGAAATCCCTAAGGAATTCCATAGAATTCCCATGGAAAGAAGGTGGGGAAGTGGACTCGGCGCCAGCATTCCCAAATCATGGATAACGGGATGGGAAACCCAGCAATGATGCAGGGATAATGGGAGGTGTTGGAAGAGCATCCTCCAGTTGGGATACAGGGAGAAGGCGGCTCCATTCCCAAGGCATGGAATTCCCAAAGATGGGAAAACCCATGGATTATTCCCTAAAATAAGTGGGAAAATCCCTGTTTTCCTTAGGATTGGAGGCGATTCCCTGCTCCCTACACCCCACGGCATTCCATGGCAATGTATCCTTGGGATGCATCCATGTTTTCCTATAGTGCATTGAAATCCCTAAGGAATTCCATAGAATTCCCATGGAAAGAAGGTGGGGAAGTGGACTCGGCGCCAGCATTCCCAAATCATGGATAACGGGATGGGAAACCCAGCAATGATGCAGGGATAATGGGAGGTGTTGGAAGAGCATCCTCCAGTTGGGATACAGGGAGAAGGCGGCTCCATTCCCAAGGCATGGAATTCCCAAAGATGGGAAAACCCATGGATTATTCCCTAAAATAAGTGGGAAAATCCCTGTTTTCCTTAGGATTGGAGGCGATTCCCTGCTCCCTACACCCCACGGCATTCCATGGCAATGTATCCTTGGGATGCATCCATGTTTTCCTATAGTGCATTGAAATCCCTAAGGAATTCCATAGAATTCCCATGGAAAGAAGGTGGGGAAGTGGACTCGGCGCCAGCATTCCCAAATCATGGATAACGGGATGGGAAACCCAGCAATGATGCAGGGATAATGGGAGGTGTTGGAAGAGCATCCTCCAGTTGGGATACAGGGAGAAGGCGGCTCCATTCCCAAGGCATGGAATTCCCAAAGATGGGAAAACCCATGGATTATTCCCTAAAATAAGTGGGAAAATCCCTGTTTTCCTTAGGATTGGAGGTGATTCCCTGCTCCCTACACCCCACGGCATTCCATGGCAATGTATCCTTGGGATGCATCCATGTTTTCCTATAGTGCATTGAAATCCCTAAGGAATTCCATAGAATTCCCAAGGAAAGAAGGTGGGGAAATGGACTCGGCACCAGCATTCCCAAATCATGGATAACGGGATGGGAAACCCAGCAATGATGCAGGGATAATGGGAGGTGTTGGAAGAGCATCCTCCAGTTGGGATACAGGGAGAAGGCGGCTCCATTCCCAAGGCATGGAATTCCCAAAGATGGGAAAACCCATGGATTATTCCCTGAAATAAGTGGGAAAATCCCTGTTTTCCTTAGGATTGGAGGCGATTCCCTGCTCCCTACACCCCACGGCATTCCATGGCAATGTATCCTTGGGATGCATCCATGTTTTCCTATAGTGCATTGAAATCCCTAAGGAATTCCATAGAATTCCCAAGGAAAGAAGGTGGGGAAATGGACTCGGCACCAGCATTCCCAAATCATGGATAACGGGATGGGAAACCCAGCAATGATGCAGGGATAATGGGAGGTGTTGGAAGAGCATCCTCCAGTTGGGATACAGGGAGAAGGCGGCTCCATTCCCAAGGCATGGAATTCCCAAAGATGGGAAAACCCATGGATTATTCCCTGAACTAAGTGGGAAAATCCCTGTTTTCCTTAGGATTGGAGGTGATTCCCTGCTCCCTACACCCCACGGCATTCCATGGCAATGTATCCTTGGGATGCATCCATGTTTTCCTATAGTGCATTGAAATCCCTAAGGAATTCCATAGAATTCCCATGGAAAGAAGGTGGGGAAGTGGACTCGGCGCCAGCATTCCCAAATCATGGATAACGGGATGGGAAACCCAGCAATGATGCAGGGATAATGGGAGGTGTTGGAAGAGCATCCTCCAGTTGGGATACAGGGAGTAGGCGGCTCCATTCCCAAGGCATGGAATTCCCAAAGATGGGAAAACCCATGGATTATTCCCTGAACTAAGTGGGAAAATCCCTGTTTTCCTTAGGATTGGAGGCGATTCCCTGCTCCCTACACCCCACGGCATTCCATGGCAATGTATCCTTGGGATGCATCCATGTTTTCCTATAGTGCATTGAAATCCCTAAGGAATTCCATAGAATTCCCAAGGAAAGAAGGTGGGGAAGTGGAATCGGCACCAGCATTCCCAAATCATGGATAACGGGATGGGAAACCCAGCAATGATGCAGGGATAATGGGAGGTGTTGGAAGAGCATCCTCCAGTTGGGATACAGGGAGAAGGCGGCTCCATTCCCAAGGCATGGAATTCCCAAGGATGGGAATAACCGGGAGCATCCCCATCCCAGGCATTCCCAATGGGGAACTCCCTGGATCCCGGAGGCTTTTCCAGCTCTCTGAAATCCATGGATCCAGTTGGGATAAATGCAGGGATCCCAATTAGAATAGGGGTAATAATAGGGGTAATAATAGGGGTAATAATAGGGGTAATAATAGGGATAATAATAGGGGTAATAATAGGAGTAATAATAGGGATAATAATAGGGGTAATAATAGGGTTAATAATAGGGCTAATAATAGGGGTAATAATAGGAGTAATAATAGGGGTAATAATAGGGGTAATAATAGAGGTAATAATAGGGATAATAGTAGGGATAATAATAGGGGTAATAATAGGGCTAATAATAGGGCTAATCATAGGGGTAATAATAGGGGTAATAATAGGGATAATAATAGGGGTAATAATAATTGGGATAATAATGGGGTAATAATAGGGATAATAATAGGGGTAACAATAGGGATAATAATAGGAGTAATAATAATTGGGATAATAATGGGGTAATAATAGGAAGAATAATTGGGATAATAATGGGAAAAATAATAGGGATAATAATAGGGGTAATAATAGGAAAAATAATAGGAGTAATAATAGGGGTAATAATAGGGATAATAATAGGGGTAATAATGGGCTAATAATAGGGGCAATAATAGGGGTAATAATAGGGATAATAATAGGGGTAATAATAGGGGTAATAATAGGGGTAACAATAGGGATAATAATAGGGCTAATAATAGGGCTAATAATAGGAAGAAGGATAGGGAAAATAATAGGGATAAAAATAGGGGTAATAATAATTGGGATAATAATAGGAAGAATAATTGGGATAATAATGGGGTAATAATAGGAAGAATAATTGGGGTAATAATAGGAAGAATAATTGGGATCATAATGTGGTAATAATTGGGAGAATAATAGGAAGAATAATAGGGATAATTGGGATAATAATGGGGTAATAATAGAAAGAATAATAAGGATAATAAGAGGGGTAATAATAGGGATAATAATAGAGATAATAAGGATAATAATAGGAAGAATAATTAGGATAATAATGGGGTAATAATAGGGATAATAGGAAGAATAATTGGAAGAATAATAAGCGTAATAACAGGGGTAATAATGGGGATAATAATAGGGATAATAATAGGGGAAATAATAGGGATAATAAGGATAATAATAGGAAGAATAATTGGGATAATAATGGGGTAATAATAGGGATAATAGGAAGAATAATTGGAAGAATAATAAGGATAATAACAGGGGTAATAATGGGGATAATAATAGGGATAATAATAGGGGTAATAATAGGGATAATAATAGGGGTAATAGAAGCAGGCTGAAGGGACCTGCCATGGCCGGGGGGGGGGGCATTAATAATAGGAATAGCACTAATAATAGCACTAATAATAGCACTAATAATAGCACTAATACTCATATTAATAGCACTAATTGCTATTGTTATTCCCATTAGTAACAATAGCAAGAATAGTGGTAATAATAATAGCAATAATAGTGGTAATAATGGCATTAATAGCAATAATAATAGCAAGAATAGTGGTAATAATGGTAATAATGATCACTGTAATGCTAATAGTAATAATAGCAATCATAATAGCAACAATAAGCGGTAAGAGTGATAATAACAGTAATAATAATAGTGCTAATAATGCTAATAATAGTAATAATAATAGCAAGAATAGTGGTAATAATAGTAATAATGATCATTGTAATACTAATAGTAATAACAGCAATCATAATAGCAATAATCAGTGGTAATAGTGGTAATAATAGTAATAATAATAGTGGTAATAATGCTAATAATAGTAATAATAGTAGCAATAATAGTGGTAATAAAACAAATAATGATCAGTGTAATGCTAATAGTAATAATAGCAATCATAATAGCAATAATAAGTGGTAATAGTGGTAATAATAGTGGTAATAATGCTAATAATAGTAATAATAATAGCAATAATAGTGGTAATAATGGCAATAATAGCAATAATAATTGCAATAATAGTGGTAATAATGCTAATAATAGTGGTAATAA